AGTTGTGTTTCTGAATCATAAGCACAGAGCTTTGATAAGTCACAATGTTTAAACATTCAAACTTTTGCAAAGATACGAGTCACATATTAACGTCACATAAGACAGCCAATAAAAGACACTACATCAGCTGCACTGCCTTTTATTAGCTGTATCATAAGTTCAATTTTCAGTGAGTCGATAATCAAATGTCGGATACCATCTAATGCAAAGTAAAAAACGAGAGCTTGCGAGGTTTCAATAGAATTAATGATGGGCTAGAAAAAGGAGAAGGAACTAAATGAAACTAATGTTCTGGATGCTGATACTTCTCTCTCTTTATGACACTTCTGAAAGATGAAGCGAAGAATGTAGAGATGTAGAGATGAAAGAAGATGGCGAAAATATCGCTTAAATTATCCAGTAATGTTGAGAGATACTTCTCAACGCTCGAGTCATTAATTAACAGCTGTCTTTTAGTCAACTACATTAATGGTGGAATATTAAAAATCTCAACACCCATGTTTTTAGTCATTGAGAAATCACCACTTAAAATGTGAGATTCTATAAGGAAAGGGACATCAGCATGATAATTCTTCAGGTAGCAAATTGAAAATGAGAAAGACCGCCCATTTGAATGATTCTGATGCAAACGAAAAAGAATTATTGTTTAGGCATTTCATATTGAATTTGAAACTTTCAAAACCTAAAAAAATCACAGTTCGCTTGACTCTGTACTTAGGCGAGCACGAACACTTTAAAAATTTATTGTTTTTTTTGCAAGCAAGATCGCGCATATCTTAGGTAGTGAATTGAGACAGCGAAGAATGTAGGATACAAGATGAATGCCAACCGTACCTCACACTGGATCTGAGCTCCGCAACCGTTGCATTTCTTGTTGCTAGTAGGTATTATTCGATGTTCTTCCAAGTCCTCTTCCACGTATGGTTCATCTTCTTCTTTACTGCTATGATTGACACGCTCACTGGAATTCTGAACATCGAAGTAGACTGAACTATACGAAAAAAATCACATCTGAGCTAACCGAGCTACTTTGGCCTGGAAGTTGGAAGCCGATAATTTCATGAGCGTCCTCGGAACCGTATATATCATATGATGGCCTGAAGATAGAAATAAATCCTAGAACATCGTAGTGAAGAGAAGAGAAAGGCTACAGAAAAATGACGTGTAACTCAGTTCAAACAATTCTAAAAGTCACTGTATTAGATCTTATAAGTTCACAGTTTCTGAATAGTAATATTAGGTCGTACTACGATGTCGTTGTACAAAAAAGTACTACTTCGGTTGCTGAGCTAGGAGAATTCGCTTTTTGATATTGCTTGTGATCATTTTTTCACGGAGCGACATCGTTTTAGTGAGAGGAAAACAGAGAACACTTAAGTGAAATTATCGAGCAGCTACTTTCAACACCTTTTTTCAGAGAGCGGTGACGACTATAAAACATCCCATCAATAAATCTATTTTTCTTAGTAGAACAAGTCATATTCTCGGCAAGAGAAATATTATTCAGTATATTTCTTCACTCTAAAAATCTCAAAAAAAACTTAGGTTTCCTTTAGCAGATGATAAGCTGAAGGAGGATTACAATGAGCAGCTTTTCATCGGTCAATTTTGTGGGGCGAAAAAGAAGATTTCAACTCCACATTGCTTCCTCACTTATGTGTTTTGCACATGCATGATTAATTTGAAACTTACATAGCTATTTCGTCATACGAGAAATCAGCAGTATTTCCCAATACGTAGTCGTCCACATAATCATCTCCTTCAACATAATATCCCCTATCACCAGCAGCAAAGCCTGAAATATATATGTTTTCATTACAGAACAGACGGATACCAAACGGTTTGACTTACTGTTAGAGGACTTCGAGTTGTAGACGACGGATGGATGAAGGATACTTTCGCTGATGGGCTTTGCAGCAAGAGGTAATTCGCTATCGACTGAGAGTACACTGGATGAATTCAGAA